AAAACCCTTCAATATCCTTCAATCAATTGAAGTTATTTCCTTCTCTCTTTCCCCCAAACAAAAGGCAATTCTTAAGTTCTTGATGGCCATCATCATTAGGCCTTAATTGATAAATTGTTCAGCTGATATCACAATTTAATTATCACACTTTAATTGCTCCAGCACCCCCCAGCAGTCACTCTGCTCCTTCGTCCCTCCATCTCTAGGAACAGCCCAGCCTTCAATCAAATTAAAGTTAATTTTTCATGCTCTACTAAAAGTTATGCACACTTTACGTTTGTCACACAGAGAGTGCGGGTGGGGGTGGGAGTGTAAAGATACATATATGTATGTACATATATATATTGTGGAAACGATTACCCATCTCCATCTCCAGAACGAGAACCAGAGCCCATTGGCAGTCCCAGTTCCAGTGCTGCTGTCGTGCTGCTTGGCTGCTCATTTATGACCATAGAGCACAAGAGCAGAATGTACGAGTACGTGTAAGTACGTATCTCGTGGATACACAGCGCTGCACGCACGCACTCACAGAATGCAATTGCTGGAGGAGGCAGACCAGCCCCCAACAGACCCAAGAGCGTAGCCGTTGTCGGATGTTGTTCATTCAAGGCTCTCCTCCGTGTGGTGTGGCTGCAACTTTAAGTCACCTTCGTTGTCGTTGTCGTCGTCGCCGTTTAATGCTTCAGTGAGCTGCAACAGCCATCGCTTCCCATTTCTTTCATTCACGTTCACGGAGAATGTACACGGGGGCTAGATTGCAGTTCATTGTGCTGTATGCCACACGGGGGCTACCTTTCGGCCACTGGACAGGGCACTGATTTCTGATATTGTTCTGATGCTTAAGGCGGGGGGCCTGCCCCGAGGGTCAGCGTACGGTCATGCTTGGAAAGAAGCTAATTAAAGTTAAGGCAAAGGTACAGATAGAGTTTCCGCCTAAGGGAACTAAAGGCGGAGGTACGACATGATTTGTGGAAGAGTTTTCATGCTAAAAATGGGTAAATATACATTTCCTGTGTGGTTTCCACCACTATAGCTTATAGCGTAATTGTAGATTGGTTTGAGACAGAATACTACTATATAAATGCTCAGAAGCGAGCTTACCAACACCGTCATTACAACTTTCCAAAACTAAAAACACTAAAAATTAGTGTTACACCACTTATAAAAGAGTTCACCAACACTGGCCATATCAATTTTCCAACACTATTTTTTTTAAAGATTATTATTATTCGGATATACAATTTCAAAAGCTTTCGCTCTCTTAAACCACCTTCAAGCACTTCCAGAAATGAAAGTCGCCAATTCTCCACCACCCACTGCTATGAGACAGCCACCTCTGGTGTGGCTCCAAGGGCAACAGATGACACTACATTATCCTTTCCGGACATTTGCCATCATGCCTTCGGGCCTTTGCGACTCTGCATTTCTCGAGTGACACTCTTTGACATTTGCCATTCGGATGGGAGTGGTGTCATGGATGGAGACGCATCTGTAATATGCACAAAATGCGCACGCATCAAATGTATCCCTGTATCTGGCAGATGCCATTAGATTTATGAGCATGCCTCACGACAATGAAGCGACGGAACCGTCGTCGAAATCTTGATAAATTCCCAGACAAACAGTCGCAGCCCCAAGCGGGGCTCTCGGGCCACCCACACACCTCGCATATGATTTCTGTTTTAGGGTTTCAGTTTCCCTCTGCGTTCAGTGTTTTTCCTCCTGCTTTCAATGCTTTCAGGTTTATTGTTATCAAAAACATTTGATAGGTTCCATTTTGTGAGTGGGTTGTGACTTGTGCGAAGATAAGAAAGCTTTTAGAGTGTGTTTTCAATATTTGAAAGCTGTTTCCGGTTGGATATGTGGGTTGCTGGTGTGTTAAGGCCAAAGTACTGCCTTTTCTACACTGCCTCTATTCCCAACCGATCCCCATCTCTGGCCAAAGTCTCAATTGAAAAGATTATGCAAACCTATAGACCGTTCCTGTACCCTACCCTACCCTACCCCAATCTTTTTCCAGTTTTCCCCTCCCAAAACGACAGACGGAGAATAATTCATTGCGCGGCAGACGCCCTCGACAATTTGCCATCCTCTAAATTATATTTGACATTTAATAATAAATGTTGATTGTGCACTTCTTGCCCTCTCTGTTCCTCCACCCACATAGTTTTTGCTCTTCATTTTTATGGCGATTCTGGCTTGATTTTCGACTCTTATTTTTATTTTTTTGGCTGCCATTTGTCACTCATTATTTATTATATCGTGAAGACATTCCAGTTTTTAGCGCCTTAATTAGCAGATTTCTTTTCTTTTTGTATGGCAAAAAGTTCTAATTTACACGCTCTTTCATGGTTCAATTAACATTTTCGAGTGCAAGTCATTGGCCAGGCCATATGGTAATACATATTCATACACATGTACGGGAAGGTCATTGTATCGTGTCCATTGAAAGGCTTTGCTTTTCGAAAGTAAGCTGAATTAAACGCACATAAACCAGGTTATTGAATGACTAAGAAGCCGCTTTTCGGTGTTCTGTTACCAACCGCCGAACCATTGCCGACAGCAGGGACTAACGGGGGCTTAATATATATTATTATGATTAATCATCGGGGCCCCACAAATACTTGAAGCAACACAAAATAGATTCGCTTTGGTTTCCACGCCCTCGGGTCAAAGTCAAAGCAAAATATATGGCAACAACAAAATAAAGTAATATTTTCAGGCGCTTTTCGCTTTGATTCTTTTTTCTTCAAACCCAAAAAAAAAGCAGCTTCAAGGCAATTAATGATTGTATTTCTTTGGGTTATTCATATTCTAAGTGTGGGCATTGCCAAATAAGGAAAAATTCAACTGGAAATATGAAATGGCAATGAAAACCAGAACGAATTTACGAATAAACCAAAACGAACGCGTGCCATCGGCAGCAACAACAAAGTCAACAAACGGAGTGTCAAAGAGGAGATCCGATCCGATCCGAACACAATAATGCAAGAGGTCCAACGAACATAAACATCGGGCGAACGAAAGGGAAGCAACAAAAACGAAATTGAAAGCCAGGGTCGGTAAGATCGACAATTGAATGCCCTGCTTGGAAAAGAATATGATTGGAAGAGTAGAAACCTAAGAGATGGCAATAAAATAAGCTAAGGGTGGCCCTTTCCTTAGTGGATGCCGCTCCTCCCCCCTATTATGCATTTGCCCAACCACATCTAGAACAAAATATACCCTAAACTGAAGTAAGTAGGGCATCAGATCGCGACCATATGGCGCTGGGTCGTTGGCGTCGCCTTGGCAATGTGACAAAATGCAAATGCGTTGAATCGTCGTCGTCGTCACCGTCGAAGCGACTTTGGCTTTGGCTCGGCTCAGCAACCGCTCCTCCTCCCTCCTGCCCGGCTAACGGTAAGCTGCCAGAGCTGCATAAAAACTGTTCTTTTCTTTGCTCTTGATTAAATGCACACATGAACATGCCCACATGCACACTCAAACACGCAAGCAAAAAATATACACAGGAGGAAAATTGCACGAAAAAAAGAGCGCCAGAAGAAAATCAATAATTTGATGTTTTGTTTTGTGCCACCAAAAATTATGTGCCCCACAAATTGGAGTCCGGCGGCGGTACTAAAACTGGAGCACACTGTGTGTGCATTCGGGCTGGGACGGGACTCACCTGTGATTGAATTTCGCCTCTGCTCAGGGAATATCTCTTTTGTGAAGTGAAGTTTTAAAGTTGAAGTGAAGTTTTGGGGTCAGCGTTTTTTGTTTTTTTGTTTGTACACACACACGACACAACACAAGCTTTAAGGCAATTTAAAAATATTTTTTATGCCGAAACGAAATACGAAAAAACTACAAGTACAAAAGGCAAATAAACTCCAACTCCGGGGCGACTCTCGGAGAGTGATTACACAACGCCAACAAAATACAAAAACTTCACGAGCCGAAGTTTTCTTTTCTTTTATTTGGGAGGGGGAAATCAACGCCACGCAAAGGCAACGGAGTGGAGGCGGCTTTAACTTTGATTTTTGGGCTGCTGCTCTCCAGGCCTGAGGCACGGCTCACATGGTTTATTTTAGTATTAATTAGAATATTTGTTGCTGTTTGCAGCCGGAGTTTTGCCAGAGATTTACAGCAAACGCAAATGGCCAACACGCACACACGCTACCACACACGCACACACACACACTCACACACAGACACGTTGGTGCCGCCAAGCGATGGAGAGCGAGAGAGATCGAAGCGACGCGACGTGGAGCACAGCGCACCAGCAACTGGAGCTACGACTACAACGCCAGCCGAGACCGAATATTGGGGAACCGAGGAAACGCAGTCGACCTCGACGCCTAGCGTTCGTTTGGAGCCCGCAACAGAGAGGGAGCGATAGAGACTCAGAGTGAGACAGAGAGAGACGATACAGAGCGCTTGGGGTGCTTTTGAAATTGTAAACCTTTTTGCCCTGGAGCTTCTTCCACCACAAAACGGTACATTGACAGCGTAAAAGGGAATGGCAAAAAACGCAGCTGTTTGTTGAAAGGGGCTGCCAGTCTGCCATAAAAGGCGGCAAATTTGAACTCAAGAACTTCCGAAATTTAGTTTCGTTCTTTTATTACTTCTGTCACTATTTTATTGTGGAATTTTTGGCCAATTAAAAACGAAATTTTGAAATTAAACAAAGTTTTAGGTGAATTTGCGGATTTCCATTGAAGCGTGTGGTCCTCTCTGCTGAAAGCTCTCTTCAAAATTGTCTTTATGACGCATTTGTAATCTAAGGGACTGCAAATCTATGACTGCCACGAGATATGCTCCAGCTTACTGTCCTCCACATTGACGACATCCCCCAGGTGGACTGGACCCTTAACTTTTTGCAGAAATTGAATGCGTGGATAAGACAGTAGCTGCACGCGGACTTCAGTTTGATAACCACGAGCCCCAATGCGCCCCAAGATCTTGATAACGCGGCCTTTTGTTGGGATGGACTCCATTATAGGCGTATAAGACACCACACGGTACCGAACAAACAATACAGAGAGGAGAGGAGTTACAATGAGATTTAGAGAACGGATTTCTAGATTTAGTTTTGAACACTTTCAAACTTTCCCCTGAGGAGGACATCCCTCATTATGGTCGCAAGTTCTTCGTTCTTCTGGGCCCGCATCTCATCGATGAGGGACTCCTTGAAGCCTGGATCCTTAGCCGGATCCTGGGGCACCTGTTGCAGCTGCTTCTCCAGCTGCAGTTGGGGGACTGCCACCCCAAAGGTGGCTCCGATTCGCTCCACACTCTGTGCTCCCGTGTCGCCGATTCTCGACCAACTGTCGGTGCCAAACCAGACGGACAGAGGCTCATTGTGGTCCGTCACGTGCGACCGAAAGGGATGACTGGGAGAGCCAAAGCCCATGTGACTGATGGTGTCCCGCAGGACCTTCGAGAGCTTCGGAATCTTCTGGGAGTAGAAGAGCAGCGCCCCACCTATGTGATGGGCCATAGAGCGTAGGCAGCGGCAGATGGCCTTCTTTAAAGATGGATCCAGAGCCATGAACACATCGTACTTCCCTCCCACAATCACTACGGGAAAGGGCAGGAGTTCTAGGGTTCCTAGATCCTCCTTATTCTGCTGCCCCACGCGCTCCAGTGTCCGCTGTTCCAGGGTTTCCCTCAGCTCGGGTGTCATTCGTGCCAACAGCTCCTGAGATGTGTCCCTCAGGCCCTTGTAGGCGCACTCCAGATCCGTCCAGAAGCGCTGCGGCTGCGACAGATCCACCATAATGAAGACCGCCAGCTGTTGGAGTCCGTGTGTCCGCATGGGCACCTCCAGCAGCTGATCGGCATTGTCCAGGGAGCCCAGCTCCCACACGTTCATGACCTGGGGCGACCTTCCACTGCCGATCCGACGACCAAAGCTGTACTCCAGGGCCAAAGTAGGACGCGTTGTGTGTTCTTCCCGATCGAAGAACTTGTTGATGGCCGTCGATTTTCCCTAGTAAAAGAATAAGGTATACTTTCCATTGCCCAAGAGGCGTAATCCCCTTTCCCTCACCACACATTTGCTGCCCAGCACCAGCAATGTCCTCTCTTTGGGCATTGAGGTGGCCTCCAGTTGCCGCAGTCGCTGCTGTTCCTCTGCCAATCGACCGGCAATGTCCTGAATGCTGGGCGTGGCATTATCCCCGCCTTCAGTGCTCTTCTCAAACATTCGCAGGATACGTTTGTGCCAACTGAGAAAGATTTGCGGCAAGCGCATTGCACGGGGAAAAAAGTACTAGAAGAAATGCGTTTTGTTTTGACATTTTTTAAAAAATGTTGTCCTGGCGACAAGTGCATTGATCTGGCAACGCCCGAAGGATGGTGCAGTGCCTGTGCGAATGGCAAAAGAACCGTTAAGTTTTCAAGAAGGAACTGGTAGTATTTTAAGTTGAATTTAAACGGAATTATACGCCGTTTCCGTCAATTGATTATTAACTATAGTATTTCTTTAATCATTATCATTCTTTCAACTTTAATCTTAACTATTATAAAAAGTGCAAAATCCTTTCTGCGTTTTTGGGAGGAACATAAAACTAGGACTCAATATACAATTGCAAAACAAAATACATACGTGGATTAACGATAAAAGGAGGCGATAAAACAAGAATAACGTAGAAGAGGGGGATGGTATGGGATCCGATCCGATCCGATCCGATCCGACCCATGGGGATAACAAACAATGAAGATGATGCTTTGTGAAATACTTCAGTAGAGCCAGATCTCCTCGAGGATCCCATTGTCCAGCTGCGTCGCTGGCAGGGCCTTCAGCGTGCGCAATGTCTCCATATAGAAGGTGAGCTCTGAGGTGACGACGCCGTGCTGCGGCCCCCCGTTATTGTTGACGTTAAGCTTGAGGAGCTGCTCTCTCAGGCGATCCTTGAAGTTGCGGTGCATCACGCCGTAGATCTCGTGGATCTGCGCCTCGGGCAGGACCCCCGCAATGGCCTCGTGCAGCTTCACCAGATGCCGCGAGATGTGTCGGAAGGTCTGCGAGGGAATGGGCGGACGGGCCTCCCAGGCCTCCAGCTGCGCGGCCACGCGCTCTGAAACGATGCCGTGGATCTTGCTTTCGATCTCCTTGATGTGACCCTGATAGTCGCGTTCGATGGCCTCGTAGCCACTCATCGAATGGAAGTGCTCCTTGATGCGCGGCAACAGCCACAGGACCAGCTGCAGGGCCCGCGAAACCAACGCCAGATTGGTGCTAGTGATCGTCTTTAGTCCAGCCACACGCATGGCTCCCGCTCCGATGATTAACTGACAGCTGCGGGAGTTGAAGCAGCGCAAGAGATCCACCACGTTCCTCGAATGATAGCTGGCCAGGAACGGCAGACGATGCGCACTGCCCCCGTATTCGTACAGCATTTGGATGAGCATCAGGGAGGCACTGACCAAAGCATACGGCTGCTTGCCCTCCAGCAGCAGCACGGGATTTCCTCCTCCGTTGCTGATGAGCGAACCTTCGGGCTTGGCATAGTCCCCCGAGGACATGCGCTCGATGATGCGCTGGAATTCGTGGGGGATGTCAACCTGTCGCCATCTCTCTTGGTCGAGGAGCAGCGAGAGCTTATGCTTGTGCTCGGAATGGAATCGCTGGGCGTAGCGTGAGGCCTGCACCTTTAGGGCCAGCTGCAGGGGAACGCTGGCCACGCCACAGATGCTCTTCGTGGTCTCGCTGAACTGCTCGACGATGTCCGACAGCTGGGAGAGCTCCTGCTCGCTGGCCGAACTCCGCTCGAGGCTCTGGGGCGAGACGATGTTGGCACAGCGCTCGTGACAGTAGTGGCAGACGTTCTGCAGAAGCAGCTGCAGCTGGGAGCGCAGCTGCTCGTGGTGGCTGGCGCTCAGGAAGGCCTCCGAATCGATCAGATTGACGGTGTCCTGGGCTCCGACGGCAGCATCGGCTGTCTGCTGCATTATCCCCACCACAGCCTTGATCCGCTCCAGAATGGAGGTCAAAGCCTGACTCGAACGCTGCAGCAGGGCGATCCATTCGGGAAGGGTCAGCTCCAAGGCCTGTTCTCCCGCTCCAGTGAGACTGATCTCCTTGTCGCTGTCGCTGCGCGAGAGGACTTCGATGAGCAACTGCTTGATGATGGCCCGAATGGTGGCGATGGCCTCCTGCTGGTAGGACTGTACAAACGAGAAATTCTGCTTGCGCAGCAGACCCATCACAATGGCCACCAACTTGTCCTCCTCCGCGCACACGCTCTCCGTCTCCAGCAGGCCCTCGGGGGTCAGAGGTCTGTTGAGGTCGGAGGCGGCGTACCGCTCGAATTCCGTAGTCAGCATCTTGTCGATGAGCTTCTCCATCTCACTGAGCTGCATGGGGAGATGCTTGAAGCAGTGCACGCCCAGCAGTTCCGCTGACAGTATCTCCTGCGTCGTTCCAATCAGGTCCAGTGCGGCCACATAGTCCTGTGTCCCGAGGAGCAGCTGGAGCATCGGCTGTGTCTTGTGCACCGTGGCCATCAATCGGAGCTTGTCGAGGGTTAAATTGTAGTGCTGCCGCCGCTTCGCATAGCGCAGGACCTTAAAGCTATCCACCACGGAGCTGTTGTGCAGCTGTGCGAGGGCTGAACGGAGCTGCCGCACCTGCTCGGCCGCCTGCTCCATCTCCGCCAGGATGGCGTGCTGCGTGGTCATGGCATGAAAGAAGGCTGCGGACTTCTGGGACACCTGCTGTGCTATCTTCACCTCTACAACGTCCAGATACTGACTCAGTTGCTCCTGTAGCTGCCTTCCCGTCTGCTGGTGCGTCGACGGACTCGACTCCGAGGATTGCATGAGGTCCGGAAAGACCTGCTTGAAGGTGGGGGCATGATGCAGCTGCAGCTGCGACTTAAGGAATATATCCGGCACGGAACTCAAATGCGTGGGACTTCCGATGGATCCTGCTGCTCCTCCTGTTCCATTCTCCAGAGGAATGTCCCGCTGCAGCTGCTGCTGGCGCCGCTCATGCCAGCGATAGCGCTTCCCAATGCTGCCCAAATACACCGCAAAGTCCGCATGGGTGATGTCCGGCAGCCTGGAGGATGCTGGGACATGCATGCGCTCCACAAACTGCTCGCCCCACTTTTTGGTGAACAGATTGCTCTGCTTGCCACGTGAGGGATCGTTGAGGACGGCTGGCAGGTTCTGGGCCGCCGAGTAGACGCCCCACTCGGGCGGCATCTCGCGGGTAAGCTGGTTCACGTGATACTTGGCTACATGGGCATCGTAGTCGCGATCCGAGACGCCGTCCAGCGGCAATGAGGCGCACACTCCGTTGAAGCCATAGCGGCAGACGAAAGAACCGCCTTCCCTCGTGCAATGCCGATTCCGCAGGTGACTAAAATTAATTGATTACTCATCCAATGGATTGATTGTACACTTATCTGATGGATACCCACCTGACGAACTCTGGTATGTTCTTGAAATGCTCTCTTGTGCAGTAGTAGCAGCTCTGCCAGCTGGCTGCAGTTGCTCCGATGCCACCTGTGCAGCTGGCTGTGGAGAGCTTCCTACTTCCTTGCTGCCCTGGCACCGTCCCTGTTCTTGGCTCAGCATCTCCCTGGGTTCTCGTTGTGGCCATAACACATTCTTTGTGCTCCCAAATTCCCCGCCGTATGGTCTGCTGCTTCTGCCTGCTGTGGCTTCCTCCGCCACTCAATCGTTGACGTGTTATGTCAATATTTGCTTTCTGCCTGGTTCGTGCCGTCCATTAAAGCCAAATGTTGCATTTTGGGCCTTGTCCCTTGGCTCCACTCTCATTGGCTGTAAATGGGTGCTGGCTCTGGCATACTTAACGTTAATTTTCAGTAGTTTTATTGCGGCTGCAGTCCCCTTAATTGAGCAATTTGTAAATGGAACAATATTTTGATGACGTACTGCAGTGTTGGAAAGATCATCGAGTGGCAATGACAGATACGTTCAGGCATACACGTTCAATCGTGCATGATAATTCACGATAGGTGGCTTGCGATATTTCAGTACTTTTATTCATTATATATCGGAAATATTCAACATTTCACAGTAAATTTGATCATTAAAAATTATTACTTAATACATCTATTAAAATGAATACATTTATATTTAAAAACAATTTTCATCAGTAATAACTAAAAATTATATACCTAATATCTGGCTAAAACGAATACTATCCGAATAAGTATCGAATTTTTCTATACGAATGAGGAACTACCTTGATGACAGATCGAAGTCGGATCAAAGAAACACACTTGCGGAATTGATCGGACGAAGAAGAGAATAATAATATTAATAATAATTCAATAATAATATATTGAACATCAAAAGATGTTTATTCTGCAAGCTAAAGTCAAAGAAAAGTTACACATTGTAACACTTTTAGTTAGTTTAGTTTAGTGAAATATACAGTGAAAAAATAGTGGAGGTATATTTTTGCTTTCAACATTTTGCTCTTCATGCAATACAAAAGTATTTCCGTGTCTGACGTGTGTAGTACGCCGCTTTCCGACAGAAATACGCTTTCCAGCACTATCAGCTGTTGTGACTGAAATTGCAAAACAACCGCCGCCGTCTTCGAGTTTGCCGGCTTTTCAAATCGTAGGCAAAACAAATCACAGAAAATACATTTGCTGGAACATAGCCATGCGGTTGGCACGCCGTTGGATCATTGGGTCTACGTGCCTGATACTCGTGGGGCTGCTGCATTTTGTCTACTGGGACTTAGTCGAGGTGTTTGACATTGAACAATCGGAATCCTCAGCGCCAATTGAGCTGCTGTGGTGGACGCGGCACATGCCCTGGGTTTACGACGAATTGCGACGATGCGGCGTCTTCGAGTGCCGCGTTACCAACAAGCGAAAGCGATTGGCCTCTGCGCGGGTTAGTCAAGGAATGGTCATAGAATAGAAAATTATCGTCCATCCGGTGGCTGCTGTAAGCAGAGATTGATTATTTTTCACTTTTCAGGCTGTTCTCTTCTATGGAACGTTTCTAGAGACGGGAGACTTTCCCCTGCCACGCAGCCTCCAGCACTCGTGGGCTCTGCTGCACGAGGAGTCGCCAAAGAATGTGGCCTACGCTCCCTTTGATGACTTCCTGCAGCATTTCAACTTCACCTCCACCTTTAGTCGCTACAGTGATCTCCCCCTCACGACCCAGTGGCTGCCCAGTGCCCATGACCTCATCTCGATGGACTACACAATGTCGTTTGACTTCAAGTCGTCGAATCTAAACGTGGCCTCGCCATCGGTTGTGTTCCTGAACAGCGACTGCGATACTATGTCCGGCCGCGAGCACTATATGAAGGAGCTGATGCGGCACATCAATGTGGATTCATTTGGGAGTTGCCTGCACAACAAAGATCTGCCCGCGAGGCAAGTAAATTTTAAAACATTTCGCACCGTTCCCCCCCTTCGTCTCAGTCACATATCGTGTGTCTACAAATATTTAAAGAATTTAGTTTTCTAAACAAATATGGCACAGAATTGCCGCGAACATCTGCAGCTGTAGCTTCAGCAGCAGATCAAATTCAAACGTGGGCACGGATCCAGATTCTACAGACATTTTCTTCAAATCCAATCCGAGTTTCAAGTGTTTAGCAAAAATTAATCGCTTTGTTATTGCTTGCAGCCTGCAAAAGGATTATATGGACAATCTGTATTCGCCGAAGCTGCTGCGCTTTCTCTCAAGATACAAATTCATGATTGCCATCGAGAATGCCGTGTGCGAGGACTACATCACCGAAAAGTTCTGGCGTCCCTTGGTAGTGGGCGTGATTCCCATTTACTTTGGTTCGCCCAGCATTAAAGTGAGTAGAAGGTGAGGTTCCTAAAGATCCTACACTATATCCTCTAGAAAAACCTATCCAGGACTGGCAGCCGCAAAAGAAATCTGCGATATTTGTCAAGGACTTTCCCAATGCCGCCGCCTTGGGAAGGTATCTGATGGACTTGTCCGAGAACAAAACAGAATATGACTCCTTTCGCGGTCACAAACTGAATGGCAGCCATCCGATACAAAACGAAAAGTTACTCCACAATTTGATCACATATCCGTATCACATGGGCGTCCCCACCCCTGAGGGTTCGCTCATCCAAGTGTTCGAGTGTGCCGTCTGCAAATACGCCACGTATCGTGGGCCCATCAGGCGTGCCAATGCGCGCCACTACAACTGCCCTTTGGTGCCGATCTATGCGCCGCTGGAGAGCAAGAAGGAGCCGAACAGTTTGGCTCACTGGCGTTCGGCGATGAAGGTGGGACAGTGTCAGGCCCGCATCTTGAAAACCTTCTTCAGCTCAAATAAGCCCTACAGCGAGGCGGAATTTGCGGCAGAACTTAATCCCAGGATTGCCGAAGATCGATGTTAGACTCGACCAAAGTTTCATTGATTGGACATGCATTGCAGGATATGATATTTTGGCTCCTAAAATGGCACCAAACATATTATCCATCGATACGTAAGGTTTTAGTTTTAAGTTGACCGAATATGTGATAAACCTAACAATAAATGAAGCATCCAAGATGCTGAAGTACCGATAAATCTGTATACCTATTCAGATTGTAGTGTCAAGATCTTAAGCAGAAGCAGCCAGAGTTTATGCTTGTGCTCGTAATAGAATCGCTAGGCGTATCGTGAGGCCCTTGTAATTCTATCTTGTGCAGTAGTAGCATCTCTGCCAGCTGGTTGCAGTTGCTCCGGTTCCAGCTGTGCAGCTGCTTTCTACTTCCTTGCTGCCCTGACTCCGCCCCTGTTCCTGGCTCAGCCTCGTGCATAGCACATGCTTTGTGCTGTTGCTGTCTGCTGTGGTTTTCCCCGCCACTCTATCGTTGACGTGTTATGCCAGTTTCACGCCGTTTTGACTGAAACCAAATATTTTTACTGTCCAAATAAATACCCAATGGTTAGTTCTATCCGAATAGTTGAGCGAGCTAGAACTACGTGAAACTAGCTTTGAATGAAACAAATTTGCGGAACTGATCGAACCGAGAAGACATTGAAATTTGGGAAGCACAAAGTCTAAGAATATATAAAACATACGTGGACTTTCTTCCTTAATAATTATATTGTGAATATAAAAAGATATACATTTTTCTAGCAAAAGAAAAAGTAAAAAAATCGTAAAAAAAGCCGCCTCCGCCATCGAATTCGCCGGCTTTTTAAATCGTAGGCAAAACAAATCATAGAAATTAAAGAAAATTTCTTTGCCGAAGCTTAGCCATGTTGTTGGAACGCCGTTGGATTATTGGGTTCACGTGCCTGATACTCGTGGGGCTGCTGCATTTCGTCTGCTTCGATTTAATCATGCTGTATGACGTTCAAAAATCAACTACCGCGGCGCCCATAGAGCTGCTGTGGTGGTCGCACCACTTCTCCTTTGTGTACGACGAGGTGCGTCAATGCGGCGCCTTCGAGTGTCGCGTTACAAACAAACGACAGCGATTGGCCTCTGCGCGGGTTAGTCAAAGAATGTGCACAGAAAATTATCGCCTATCCGGTGGCTGCTCTGATAAGCAGGGAGAGACTCATTATTTTCCATTTTTCAGGCTGTTCTCTTCTATGGAACGGCTCTAAAGAAGGGAGACTTTCCCCTACCACGCAGCCCCCAGCACTTGTGGGCTCTGTTACACGGGGAGTCGCCCAGGATTGTGATCTACGCTCCTTTTGATGACTTCCTGCAGCATTTCAATTTCACCTCCACCTTTAGTCGCTACAGTGATCTCCCCCTCACGACCCAGTGGCTGCCCAGTGCCCATGACCTCATCTCGATGGACTACACAATGTCGTTCGACTTCAAGTCGTCGAATCTAAACGTGGCCTCGCCATCGGTTGTGTTCCTGAGCAGCGACTGCGATACCATGTCCGGCCGCGAGCACTATATGAAGGAGCTGATGCGGCACATCAATGTGGATTCATTTGGGAGTTGCCTGCACAACAAAGATCTGCCCGCGAGGCAAGTAAATTTGAAAACATTTCACACCGTTCCCACAATCGTCTCAGTCACATATCGTGTGTCTACAAATATTTAAAGAATTTAGTTTTCTAAACAAATATGGCACAGAATTGCCGCGAACATCTGCAGCTGTAGCTTCAGCAGCCGCTGCTGCCAAGGATCAGTCTTCAGTGCAGTTGAAATTTCATCTTCTTTTTATAGCAGGTGCAGGTGTATTTGTTGTATATTTAGTAGGTGTGAAAACAGGTGTGTCGTTAAGTATTTTTCCCCTTCCTACCACCATCCACCATTTTTTAACCGGGAGTTTATTATTTTAGAAACAAAAAACATTATAAATAGTAGAGCAGAAAGAGCTACAAAATGAACGAAATCAACGAAGACAGTTGCAACTGGGACAAGCGCCGGTACATAATTGACACTCTCGGAGAAAATTGTAGACAACGCACTCATCGGCTTCGTTTCTTCATCTCGTATTCGAGTACCAGCTAGATATAGATTTTTCGCTCATCCGAAAGTGCTGATTGTTGCATTGTAATGCGATCAAATTCAAACATGGGCACGGATCCAGATTCGACAGACATTTTCTTCAAATCCAATCCGAGTTTCAAATGTTTAGCAAAAATTAATCGCTTTGTTATTGCTTGCAGCCTGCAAAAGGATTATATGGACAATCTGTATTCGCCGAAGCTGCTGCGCTTTCTCTCAAGATACAAATTCATGATTGCCATCGAGAATGCCGTGTGCGAGGACTACATCACCGAAAAGTTCTGGCGTCCCTTGGTAGTGGGCGTGATTCCCATTTACTTTGGTTCGCCCAGCATTAAAGTGAGTAGAAGGTGAGGTTCCTAAAGATCCTACACTATATCCTCTAGAAAAACCTATCCAGGACTGGCAGCCGCAAAAGAAATCTGCGATATTTGTCAACGACTTTC